TAACGAATTATTAATATATCTGTAGCATTTTAAGCAATTAAAATATCAATGAATTGCAAATACATGCAACTCAAACAGCCTAATTATTTGTTTTCTTTTATCACACATTCTGTATATTCGAAGAAGTTTCAGAAACGTATATCACACAGCAATATCAAAGTGAGCAAAAAAATTTTTCTTACACAGAGTACAAATTATGTAGCAATGAGAACAACTTTCAGACATGAAATTATTAGTTACTTTACTCATCAATGAGTGGCTCTTATATGCTTTGCTAGCTTCTTTACTTAAATGTTAACGACAATAAATACAAGCTCTGACGAAAACACAAACATTTACGAAGCACACAATATCAGAATTAATTTAAAAATATAAAAACACGATATTTGCATACTAGGAACAGAAAATATGCAAGGGTGCCACTGCTCTGACCTGTTTTCTGGGCTGTAGCACCATCAAGTTTGGTAGAAGTTCATTAGCGTTTCAGAGGTCTTTGCTGCCTCCATCATCAGGGCGATAAATAACCTGAATTTGAAATCCTTCCGCCTTCAGCTGTGGCTCCCAGTTCCTGACAGTTTCCTACGTATCTCAAACCATATAAGTCCATGCGCGCATCTTACTCATCACCCTGATGGTGGAGGCAGGAAGGACCTCTGAAACGTCGGTAACTTCTACCAGACTACACTGCACTACAACCCATCTCTGGACTCACCGCCTTGAAAATCACAAATGCTACTTAGCTAGTAAAATTAAGGCGTCACGTTGGTTATTGTAACCATTCTGGAAAGTGCGTCCGCCAGTGGTAGATTAAATAATCACAAATTTGAATTCCTGACAAAAAACTGTCTGGTGACAAATTTACACATTGTCCGTACAATTCTTACTGACCCCCAAAACATTCAGATCTGAAAAAATTTCATGGTTTCGCTATAGTACGAATTATAGTTCAATACCGGTGGCAATATCATATTTACTTTAACAAAAGTCTTTTAAAATACGTAAATAGTAGTCAAATTTTATGCTCGATACTCGAGCGTCACTTCAAAAATCCTATTTTATCTTCACTTAAATTAGATTCAGGAATATTTTTGACACTTATTGTTATAAACTTTCGGCAAATGTTACAAACTTTAATAAGTCCACGTTTATCATATCTGTTACTGAATTATTTATTGAATAATGGTTCTTTTAGTTAAATGTGTCATTCTCCAGGTTCAGAATAAGATTAAATAATATTCTTTTAACTGATGTCTTTGTCCTATATTATTATTTTACACTTCTCAGAGCTCCCAAAGACGGTATATCTACTTTTGGAGTTAATGTGAGCATTTTAATATTCGGAGGCCAACAAAATCCAGTAATTTCGTAATTTTAAATGAATCTCTGCTGTCTCATTAAGTATTGCACTTGACTTATGTATCTGTCTAAATTTTGTTCTTCAAATTTCACGCATTAACTTTTAATTAAATTGTAAAATTATTTATATTTTATTGAAATTCTTGATATATTTTGTAAACACTAAATGCTCATGGATGACTGTGATGCTTTGTCCTGTTAGTTACTGAAAGAATATTCTGACATAAACGTAATTTAAGTCAGAATACTTCATATGAAATTCCACTATTTTCAAACCTCAAATTATCTATCGTTTTTCTTTTAAATGGTGCAAAGGATGGTAACACGCGACATGCCGATAGAACGAGAAACTCTCAAAGTTTATTTTACATATCTCATAAATTCTCTATGACCATGCGCTGCCTCGTTGGCCACCCCGATCACCGGACTTGACGCCATGTGACTTTGTCTTACGGGGGTACGTTAAGGACCATGTCTTTGTACCGTCTCGGCCACGGGATCTGCCTGAGCTGCGGAGACAAATCATCGCTGCCATCTCACAAATCGATCGTGACATGCTGCAGCGAGTATGGGCGAAAATGGGTTATCGGCTTGACGTCTGCCGCGTCACAAAGGGAGGACACATAGAACATTTATGAGGAACGTAAAATAAACTTGGAGAGTTTCTCTTTCTATCGGCATGTCGTATGTTACAATCCATTAAACCATTCAAGTCTAGCGATGTTTTGTAATGTGACAGGGAATTATGAATAACCCTGTATAAAGGAAAACTTTCTGCTGAATATATCAATACATCTGTAATAATAATTCAATTAGACTTAGTCAATTAGTTTAAAAATAGAAGAAAACACGTAAGATACAAAGAAACAAGGTACTAAATCAGGGAATTTACATAATTAGAATAAGATAATTAATCTTATGCTGCGTGCAGGAGATGAGGAATGGGCAAAACGTATATAAATCTATATATAATGTAATTAAGACCAAATATATGGACAGTATGACAGTTATAGAATAAGATTAAGGAAAACAATTCTTTTTGAAATACTCTTGGGCTATAAGCTGCGTCAGGTGGCCGAACGGCGGCAGAAGATTTGGCTTTTTCACCGTTCATCCACCTGCTGTAAAAGCTGCACTTCACAAATCTAAAACAATTTTTGTTTCAAATATATCAAAGTCCCTGCAGAAAACATTAGCTTCAGATCTAGCAGAAGGGCAATTTTTCATTTAAGGGCTGAAATCAAACAAAGAGAAGTCTCTGAGATACCAATTAGCAATTCGAAGACGACGCTTCCAGAAGCGAGGGGCAGTATTTATATCAATGTTTATAACATGGTTTCAACATTTCCTTTTGCTGTCCCACCAAATCAACATTTCTCATATTCAACAACCTCTCAACTCCTACAACATTAAATCATTAAATAAGAAGGCTTCAGAAAAAAAATTAATGATGGGGTTTAAGATTCTGGAATCACAGATTTATTGTGGATTTTTCTTCTTGGCTTTCAGTACTTATTATGTTCTCTCAGAGATTCCTGGTATGCCAAGAAAAGATCGTCATTCTTGAGGGTTTATAACAGAGGTACACGAAACATGCAAAGGGTTCCTGGATGGCACATAATTCACTCATTCTGCTACGTTGGAAACTGAGATCTCAACTACGAAGATTGAACAGAACAACATACTTGCATTAAAGCAGCTTGTAATCCCTTCACAACTAATATCACAGTAGCTGCCGCCTTTGAATACTTTTAACTGACACGAAGTTTAATTGCTACAGCTCATTAAAAGGTAATTTAAAAGTTAAGATTACAATTCTTAACCTTCCCTTCAATATTACACTATTTTCTAAGTTCCCATAACGTTCAGATTAAATTCTGAAATATTATAAGACTTTGCCTCATCCTAAGTTGCTTTTAATGTTAACTTAGGACTGAAGATATATTCTACTCGATTATATGAATGTATCACGCAAAACAAATTGAAGAAATCTAGTTACGTAACTCACCAACAGACTGCACTCTGATCTTCAAGAAAAGAGAATTTTTGTTTAATACGTAAAAACATTTGCAGAATTATGAGGAAACAAACATAAAGAATCTCTTCGATCACAAGGATCTAGAAATCGCTTATCTTTTCCTTTACACACAAAGTCACAAAGCAAAATCATTTAAACTTTCATCTTATCCCATTCTCATACTTCAAAAATGTACTTTGAATCAGTGATGATTATTAGATTAATATTGTCCACAGACAACTTCTTACATGCCCGGATATTATATTAATAAAATACACGAAAAAGAGAACTGATTCAATGTGATTTCAGCTGTACGTTTCACTTTTCTAAATATCTATCCATTTTCGTTAATTATTCTCCTGTTTATAAAATGTTTAATCCCCGACAGAACCGAAGTTGCCCTTAAGTATTGCTTTTATATTAATACGTAGGGAGTGGATGGGTGAGTACACAATGCTCCCTCACTATGCCAATGTTGGAAGATACAAGAAGTGTTCTTTTATTTTAGTAACATTCTGTTTAGTTGTTTAAGAAAGTGACCTAGTGGAACTGTACACCGGTGTGCACCAGAACCACACGAGTGTTTATGAATTCTTTAGAATTCCTGCACGTCACTCCTCACTTCCTTCTGACAAATCATCTTTCTAAGGTTCAGTTCTATTAGAATGCGTATACTTCCGTCTACTTTAATATCTGACGCAATCGTGTAAACACGAAAATACCTCATTACTTACTCCTCCCTGCCTCAATAAACAAATACGTGCTTCTAATTTACGGGATTGGTTTCCTCATTAAGAACATTTCCTACAATAATCTGAGACAGAAAGAATATTGTATTGTACAAAGTTCCATTTCAATTTAAAAGTAAGACTTGACACTAGAGAGAGAAGTGTCCACATCTTAAAATTGTGTACATACACTTAATTAGATTCATTAATTGCACGGATGACGAGAAAAATTGAAGATACAGTTCTTCCTACGAAAAGGAAGATGAATACAGTTTATGCCTATGGCCAGAGTACCATTTTCTTGTCTGAATGACATCTGAAAGGAAGATCTCCAGACTGCTGAATTAATTGGAGAAGCTTGGATGATCTCTGAGATGTCTACAACCACACCAGAGGGACAAGAACTTTTTATCACTCTATAAAAATCACTGCATCAGACAAATAACAATCCTTAGACTAGTAGAGGCTCTGAACTGTAGTTCAGAGCTTGGTGGAATGAAAGAAGTATTGGCTCCACTGGAGTTCAGTCGTGACTACGAGTGGTGAGGGCTACTTTGAACCACCGCCACGATGACCATTAACACACTTGGATGACGAGATGTGGTTGCTGTGGTGATGGTACTTGTCAACATCCTTTTCTAAGATGTGATCGAAGTGGCCATTATTGATGGGGTGGCAAATGGCTCGGCAAACGTCGCCGTTGACACAGGAGAAGCCGTTGGCAGC